CTAGGAATGGCCACAATTAAAAACAACCAATATTAGGCATGTTAGTATCTCAAACACATTTTCTGCAGATAGCTTTGCAGTCAACTGCAATAAGATAACATTTTTCCCAGATTGAAAAAACTAATTGTGACACCTTTCAACAGATATTAACTCTCAGCATGTCAGAGCTTGTGAACACGGATCTATCTCTGAAATGGGCTGAACAATACTTATATCCTATTGAACTGACAATACATTTTCATGATATTAAGCAGCAACGAATGGTGTTGAGTAAAACTATTATAAACAAAATGAAAGAATGTGGTCCATCCAATAGAATGGCTTTGGATTTCTTAAACCTAAATTGAGGGGAAGAAATAATTGAAATCAAGTTAAAAAAATATTTTTTTAAAAAAGCAGGAAGGTACATTAAAAAAATCGATCCATTGGAGTAGGACCAGAATTTCTGCTAAGCAATACAGTCGTAAAGTGTGATGTTGTATGACCGTGCTGCTTAGCAACCACAGTTCTGCAAGCCTGAAGTTACTGTCGTTAAGCAAAGACCTCATGTGATTGTGACGTCTAACTTCCTGATTTTTCTTGTGGGAAGCTGGCAAGGAAGGTCGCAAATTGTGATCATATGACCATGGGAGGCTGCAATGGCAGGAAATCCAGGCTGATTGCCAAGCACCTGGACAACAGTAATGTGACTGTGAGGCACATTACAATGGCAGAAACTTCAAGGATTGGTCATAAATACCACTGGTTCAGCACTGTTGCAAGTTTGAATATTTGTTAAGCAAGTGATTATTAAACAAGGATTACCTGTATTGAGCTCAATAAGGGAACTGTTATTATTGAATAAGAGGCTAAATGCCTTTACTTTATCCATACAGAATTTGTTACAATTCAAGAAGACTAAGGAATATTGTTGATTTAGAAAAGGTCAGACTATCTGTCTCTCCAAAATTGCCTACTCTTAAACAGTGATTCTTCAGATTCTTGAAGTAAAGTCTTTTCCATCACGTATTCTTTTAAACTCGTTCCAGAGACTGAACCTAACATTTTTGCATGCTGAAGATACTGTCTATCAGTTATGGTTGATATCCTCTGTTATCACATTGATTTTCACTTGCATTATAATTCTCGGCCTAGCAGTTACAATTCCAGAAGTGAAAGTGGCTGGTTATTTTATGTTGGCATTTGCAGCTTGAAAACAGTACAGCACAAAACACTAATATACAGTATATACACCAGTGGTGAAATCTAAAATTTTTTACTACCGGTTCTGTGGGGGTGCCTTGGTTGGCGTGGTGTAGCTTAGTGGGCATGGCAGGGAAAGGATACTGCAAAATCTCCATTCCCACCCCAGGGGCCAGCCAGAGGTGGTATTTGCCGGTTCTCCGAACTACTCAAAATTTCTGCTACCGGTTCTCCGAACTGCTCAAAATTTCTGCTACCGGTTCTCCAGAACCTGTCAGAACCTGCTGGATTTCACCCCTGATATACACACATCTGAAGGACCACTTATTCCAGGTAGAACTATGTTGTCCAGTAGGTCCAGCCAGTAAGCACTGGTTAAAGACAGGGTGGATAAAAATCAATGATTTTTTTTTAAAAATCAAAAAAAATCAGATTTGTTTTGATTTAAATCGGATTTTTTGATTTAAATTGGATTTTTTTGATTTTTATCAAATTTATTTTAATAAAAAACTTTTGGGGTATAAATCTATCATATGATAGTTTTCTATTTAAGATACATAAATAATTTAGTTTATTCAGCATGAAATGGAGCTTAGTTATGTAGCATGAGGCTGTATATTCTGTAATACTGGGACTATCGGTGAGTCAACAGTGGGTCAAAGGAGTAGCAGAGATGACAGTTGCTCTTTAAAAATTATGATTTAAATCGAGTTGATTTAAATCAAGCCTTTTTACTAGTGATTTAAATCATGATTTAAATTGTGATTTAAATCAACTCGATTTAAACCAAATCCACCCTGGTTAAAGAATACAACTTCCAAATGAGATCAGAAGAGAACAAGAATGTGCTGCTGCTCTCTGTATGTCCTATGCAGTACAACAATCTGCTTCCTGAAATCTGAATGGTATCCTGCCTGATAACTTCCTTAGAGCTCTGAAGTCAAAACTCTTTCACACAGCTGTTATTGTCAAATTAGAAGGTAACATTAAGGAGCACAGAGTTTTAGTAAAGGTAGAAAAGTTGTGTACGTTACTATTTATGGTTTTATAACACTATAAATTGTCATACTATTAATATATCAGTGACACAAATACTTTTATTACTATATATATAGAGAGAGCGCATACACATATGTAATTATGTATTAATCATTAATTAAGGAACTAACCCATATGCAATTTGTTTTTAATAAGTGTAAGTTTTACATTAAATTATACAATTATTTTAAAATAGTTTTAAGGTTTTCAGCAATTTTGTATATGAGGAAGAAAATCATATAATCCAATGTGCAATGTATTTTCTAATATTTCAAGTGTCATCACGTAGGATATGAAATATTTTCTCTAAGTAGAATATATCTTCTAATTTTATTAATAAATACTATTTTATTTCCCATATGTCATTGTACCCAAATTGCTTCTCTTTAAATCTAGTTGTCTGCTGCTGACTACACAATTTTTCCATTTTTATGTATTATTTTGATTACATTTGCATATAAAACAATTCTGTAGATAAAAGCATATTTGTTCTTTAAAAACACTTATAGATGGGTCATTTTCTTGTTTTCAAGGGAATTCAACTTGCACTAAATTAGTGAAAATTCAGGCAGCTCAATACTAGAAATGGCTAGGAATGGCTCTCTACATAAAGGAGGTCTTTTCAGAAACTTGGACTTTGTTGGAAATAAAACTAGTACTTCCTGAGGGCAAAGCCTATGAACTTTTCCACTTAGGAACAGCTCTTTGCTAAAGAGAGAATATAACATTCTAAAAGAGATTTTAAAAATCTGTGAAGTGTATTAAACTTTGGCAAAGGCTAATTTTTTCCCCCTCTGAAAAAAGTGGATTACTAGTAATATTACAGTTCAGTATTAATATTTAGCCATCTGGCCTACAGTATTTAACATAAATTTAGTATGGCAATCAACATAAATGTATACTCTCTCCACTGTAAGAGGGCATTCCCAGGAAAAAAGCAGCTCATGTTCATTAGACAGTTGTCAGAAACTACTTTATCTCTGCAAATTCCCATTAACAGCTGAAAAAGACATATCTAGAGTGCAAACTTGGCTTTAATGAAACATGAATTACAGATGATCTATGACTGAATGATAGATTAGATCTGTGAATCTTCTTTACCCATTTAACCTCATCAGAAACAAAAAACTGGATTTTCCATTCAGACCACTATACTATTATAATCCTTATAGATTTACAGTGGGCAAAGGCATTTGCAAATCTGTGGTCAATTTCTGGATAATATAGTTTAAATTTGCCTCTGTCATAATGGGGGAAAAAACTTAAGTAAAACCAATTTCTGCCCATAAACAAAAACCCTTAAAGGAAACAGGACATCTCCATGATGCTTTACTCATGATTGTATTTTTTTTAATGATTCAGAAGAGGAAAAGTTTGACTGCTAATCCATCTGAAATAAGAATATTTATTTAGTGATATGTTTAAATGTCTGTCAGGTCAGAAATCAGAAAAGGCCAATTTTAAATGCAGAATATTTCAATATAAAATAGCATGATATAGATTGTATACTAAAACTTGCTAAGCCAAACATAGCAGCATAAAGTCTCCTAAACGCTATTTGAGGAGCTATTAGCTAATAGCTGTATCTAACAGCTATATGAGGACTACCAAAATTTCAGGGATTATTACAGCTGTTTTGCCGCCCCCCCCCTCCAAATATATTTTCAGGAGAAATTTTGTCTATACTCTGCAAATCTATTGCTCAGATTCAGAAACAGAATTCAGAGCACTATTTTCATTTCAGAGTTCATTTCCTGAAAGTTCAGAAACTATACAGGTATAAATGTATTCCAGCTTTCTATGACTAGGTGAACTTTTCCACACACACACAAATTGCAACATCTCCATTGCTGACACACACCTATCGAAAACCACCGAGCACTTCCGGTATACTCTGAAATAATACCTGTTGGAAAAAGGAAGTGGGAGAGCAAATAATCTCTCAACATAGCAAAAAGTGAAGAGCTCCCCAGCAAAGGTAAACAGCATCTGCCTTTAAAACAAGCCGCAAAGGGTGAAGGATTTGTTGGAGCTCCCCTAACCAGGTTTCTTTCTTTCAGCAAAGCCGGAACGGATCCAATGGGCCCGACTTTAGTCAACAGGCTCTGCCTTCCCTTCCTGTTGCTTGGATCCACTGCCTTCACCTGTACCTAGGATTTATCCCACTCTCACGAGCCCCCCCCCCCAAAACAAAAAAAACCCCAAACCCTAAAAGAGACCCCTGAAGTCTTTTCCCCCTTGGGGAGTAAAGGCGAGCATCTTTTTTTTTTCCCTCGCGCACCCCACACCTTGTCCCTTTTCAGTATAAATTTAGCCAAAGCTGTTAAGGGGATGATTTTCCACCCCCGCCCCAACAATACAGAGCCGTGGGGAGGAATATGGGGGGGGGGTGAGAGAAAAAAGGAAGCAGGCAGCTGTTCCGTGGGAACGGCCCCAACCAGGGACCTTCTGGTCTTCTCCAAATTCGAAGTAAACCAGCCACGACCCCGCGCCGGAAAGGAAATAGGGGGGGGGGAGGAGGTTGCATCATCACGCCTCCCACTCGGAGCAGCCCGCTTCTCCCTCCAGCAGATGGAAGTCACCCCCCTCCGGCCCCCGAAACCCCCTTCCCTGAGAGGTCAAGGCAGCTTCCCGGCCGGGACGCGCGGGAGGCAAACCCTCCACACGCTCCCGCAGGCGCCCCCACAGGATTGGCCGGGCCTCCCCCACCCCGCACTTCCACCCCCGAGGCAGTCAGGCCCAGCCAGCAGGGCGAAGCCTCCTTCCCGTCCGCCACTCACCACGCATTTCTTGCCGAGGAAGCCGAAGAGGCTCTCGTTCTCCTGCGGGGTGAGCAGCATGGAGCCCACGTTGGAGACCCTCCGCGGCGGCGGGGGTTGCTGTTGCTGCTGCTGGCTGTTGTTCATAGCGGCCGCCGCCGGCGCCCGGCCGGGACTGCCAACCCCTCGGCCGGCTTCGCAGCTGGCTCTAGCTCGTCTGGGGGTCAGGCCCCGCGTCTCCTGGAGGGTGGCGGCGCAGCAGCCTGCCTCCCCGCGCTATTGCAGCAACATCGGGGCGGCGACCTGAGGGGGCGCCGCGCGTCGTCGGACCGAGGAACAACTCCTGAGGGGTTCAAGCGAGCGAGCGGAGCGGCCGGGAAGTCCCGCTCCTCGCCCTCTGCGCGCCTTCCGCCGCTCTCCCGACAGGCACTAAACTTCCAACTTCTCCCCGGCGCCGGCCGTGCAATCCAACATGGCAGGGAGCGGAGGCGCGGGCGAGACCAAACGCCGCGGAGGGAGAGGGGAGGACGCGGGGTCGAGACGCCCCAGGCTGCCCAGCCCGCGTCGCCGCTTCTCGGCCCGGCGCCCCTCTGCTTGGACTCTCTTCGCCGCCGGTCCGGAGAAGCGTAGGCGGGGCGGCCCGCGGCTCAGCTTCGGCGCGAGTCCCAGTGGCGAGCTCGGGAGTCGTGCTTTCTGTGGCCTCCCCCGTTAAATACCGGGCGAGCCAAGCCGGGCTGCTTCCCCGGCCTTGTCATCCAGGAAGTCTGGAAATTGGCGGTGGCGGGAGGCGGAGGAAGCGAGCGGAGATGCCGCGGGCTCGCAGGAGGGACGCGCCCCGCGATTCCTCCAATTCTTCCAACGCAGAACCGCGGGGCTTGCTTGGTGGCGCGAAGCGGGGGTGGGGGGTGCGCTCTTGTCACCTGCCTGCCCCTGGCTTAAAAGCTTCCGAGAATCCCTCAGACGTAATTTGTACCTCCAGACACAAGAGGGAAAAGCGTTGCTGTTAAAAATCCCGTCTTTTTCCTTAATTTAATTTCTACAAAGGAGTTGATTGATTGGTTCCATTTATATGCCGCCTTTCTCCGGAGATTCAGGGCGGCTTACAATGCGTTAAGCAATAGCCGTCATACTTTTATATATACCTGCTTAGTAGGGCTTTCGGGCCCCCCCCAAGTGGTGTTATTTTTTATACAAAGTCAGTTTATTGCCCCCACAATCCGAGGGCAAACCAGTGTTTGCCTACACTTAAGTGTTGCTATGGATAATGGATGTTGGGCTTTGCTCACTCCGATGCGTGGTAACGTCTGGTTTACGGCTCAAGGTCCTAAAAAAAAATCATGTTGAACGGGGTTAAAAGGCCTTTGAAATGGAGGAACTCGGATCGCGGGTGTCCAAATGGAGCAGCGTTTCTCAACCTTGACAAGTCGAAGATGGGTGGACTTTCAACTCCCAGCATGCTGGTTGGGGAATTCTCGGAATTGAAGTCTACACATTTTTTTGAGTTGCCAGGGTTGAGAAACGCTGACATGGAGGTTCGAAACAAAAGAAAGAACTCCTACTTTTTAACTGAACTGGGATTGTTTTGCTAAGTCTCATCCTTGGCTTTATGGAATTCCTGGCTTTTTGTCTGGAGGAATCTTCATGTACTTGTGAGCATTGCTTGTGTCTGTAGTAATGGCTTTAATCAAATGGCCTGTTCTGCTTGGAAAAAAAACCTCTTTCTTTGAAGATACTCATTTTGCAAGGAAACATTGGTAGCACAATCTCAAACTTCAGCCATGTTGAATCATCATTACTGACGAATGATAAAAACATATAATATTTTGCATTGCTCATAAAATGGTCAGCATTATTACAGGATGATTATTATAATCTTCAAAATCCTATAGAGCTGAAGAAACTTTTTGGATGAGAAGCGAAACATCTTCCGAACCAGAAAGTCCAGTTGCCTGTTGAACAAGCACCTTTGGGACAATGCCATCGGTGCAATCCAATAAATCTGGAGCATCACTTGAACCACATTGGCACTGCCAGAATCAATGTAAAAGACAGCCTTACTGGACAGCTTACATCCTGCGATAATACTTTTAATACTATCAAACAAGAACATCTGCCAAGTCCTTGGGAAGGACTCGATAGGTGGATAAAAATGTCAAACCCAATCCAAACATTTGCAACCAACCATAACAATGATGGCTTGTTCAATGGTTTATTTCCAAAGGGAGATAATTAAATTCTGTTTGGAAAGTGTACCTTGTATCCTACACATCCAGAGTATTCTAAGCTATATTTGCTTATTTAAGAGCATTCACTAGGACAGGATGTTTATAGAAATAGTGACCAAGTTCACATGTGATCCAAATAGTATTTAAGTGTCCCTGAGTTAACCATTACTAGCTAAGTTCACACACATCCTAAAACCTATGATTAAGAGGCAAATTTCTAGTGATGGAAAATTGGTTGCATTGGAGTGAACTTTTGTATGGAACCCCAATAAATTCTGAAGGAACTCTTTGATTCTGTGTAACCCAACTTGAAAGCTTTGCATAATGCTGTTGTTTACACCAAAATGTCTGGGTTCACATACGCTACTAAGCACATTAAAACTCAATTACTCCAATTTGTTTGAAGCATTATGGCTTAGTACAACATTGGATTGCAGCTAGTTTCTTCCTTGATAAAATTAAAGGAAAAATATAGCATGTTTGAGTGTATTCCTTTATTATATTAATATACTCTTAGCCCTGGGCCCCTGACATTGCAAAACTAATTCTATGGACTCAGACCTACTAAAAGTGAAGACCTACCAAGAATTACCAACAAAATGAAGAGGAAAATGAGGAAAAAAAATATGAACTTAACACAGCAGTAGACTTTAATTATCCAGGTAATTATATTCAGGATACAGGTAGCTCTTGAATTACAGCTGTAATTGAGCCTGGAATTACAGTTGTACATTCTGGCAGTTGATAAGTGGGTCACCATGTGACTGTTTTGATGACTGTGCAGCAGTTGTTAACACCAGAGTCATTAAATGAACCTGGTTTCTTCAGTGAGTGTTTTTTGCTAGATGCTGGAAGTAAATGCCAGAAACTGGTAAATCCCACCAAAAATTGTCCCATGGCAGGGGACATTGCAAACAGCCAAATATGTGACCTACTTGCCAAGCAGCCAGAACATGATTGCTTTGCGTGTATGGCTTTTGGAAGGCTGGAAGAAGTAGCTTTGGGAGAAGAGTCTATTGTAACGGTCGCTAAGCAAGGATTATCTTTAACACTAATGTACATAATATCTGTTTATGATTTTCATGGTGGAACTCTTGCCTCACAATCAGGAGGCTGGTGTTCGATCCTAGGTAGAGGCAGATATTTCTCTGGGCACAATGAGAATATATCTGCTGAACAAAACTTCGCATTGGTAACAGGAAGGGCATCTGGCCATTAAACGCTCTGCTAGCTCCATTCAGTTGCCCAGACTCCACCCTGCAAGGGATTATGGGATCGTTAAAAGATGATTCTAAAATATTTTGCAAAAATATTTAAAATTATTCTAATACACTATGTAATGTCCTGTAACCAACATATTTGCATTTTATTGAAAAATGGGAGACAGATCTGAAACACTTTGATAGAAGAGAATAGAATTCTATCAGGAAATACTGCATACTACTGTATAGTCAGATGCTCTGAATTGTTGAGTGAATGTATACAAATTGCAGAAAACATCTGTTGTGAACTTTAGTACATGAGAGGATTAAAATTATTCAGCCCTGAAATATCTTTTGATACACAAACATCCTGTAATATCTTGCCAAAAAATGAAATAGCCCATTAATTTTGATTACAGATGTGAAACTTCAAAGAAGGAAATCATCCTGTTCCCCAACCTTTTTGTTTAAAAAAGGGAAAAAAAATAGATTACAAATATTTTCATTTAAAAATGTACAAATGATCAAGAGGTCAATAAAATTGATCTGGAACCATGGCTGCTTTCTGAAAATCATTACTTTCTGCATTTGTGACTAAGGCTAGAGTATATTTTTTGTTTCACTACTCTATCAGAGACATACCAAGCTCTAATATTTTCATATCTATAAACTCACATCCCAATTAATATAACTGCAAGCTTACTCACCATTAGATATTTTAAGGTTCAGAAGGATAAGTCATCAGGAAATATTTATCTGAGGTATTTCAATTGGAATTATGGGAATTATGATACAAATACAAATGTCAATTTTTACCTGATGTGTTCACTGCAGCATGATTTATAGTGCCTGATATTCCATAGTACCCAATGTAGACTTTTAAAAGTTTGACCCAATGAAGCACACATTTTAGCTGTTAGACTGGAGCAATCTCTCAAAAGCTACAATTCCCCTACGAGCTACTTCCAAGTGTGCCGATAAATGCCACTGGAAGGTTGCACAGTGGTAGTTCTTCCATAGGACAAGAAACTAGCAGCAGAGTGGTTTTCTATCACATTGTTCAGTGTTCTAAGTCATCCCACCCACGGCATTTGCAGAGGCCTTTCACATTACACACCCATGAAGTATTCTATTCTGTCCCATTGTCTTAAACGTATAACACCTCTTCAAAGTTCCTGCTAACAGCTCATACATTCTAACAAAGCCTTCTTCCTTGAGTGTGCAGTAGGCATGTGCACTGGAGGTGACCCTTTTCTTTAGTTGGAACACTAGTTAAAAAGCTCAGTTCAAAGAAAGATTGGTAGGGTAAATTATTTGAGTTCATAGATGGGTGATAGCATATGTGTATGTTAATATAATAATCACTTATTCACTTATGCTTTATTTAGTTAGGATTGTAAGCAGATAAAATAAGATGGAGCCCACAGACAAAAAACATAAATAGCCACAAAACTCAGGTGAAAATAAATAAATAAAACACATCATGTGGCCCATAAATGCTTTATCTCATATTTGGCTGCTTCCAATTAAGTTGTTTCTTCCATCCTGATAGACTGGTGAAAAAGGATAGTGTTCAAAAAGAAAACAAGGAAGTGACTATCCTAACTTGGATCATCATTGAGAAATCTCCCTCTCCCTTGATTTCAAACGGATTTTCAGCCTCCTCTTTTTAGATGGGCAGATTGTACAAATGGTCCAAGCCATTTTTAGGGCATAAAAGGTTTCAGCTGTCCTATCGTCTGGACAAAAACCCTACCTAGCCACAGCCTTCATCTGCTTTTTTTTTTTTTTTTACCAAGAGCCATGAATCTGGAAGAATTCTATATATACTCTTTGCCCCACCAGAACAAAGATGGAAGTATCTGCAACTGAAATGCATCAGAAGAAATAGTGTCTACATCTTGCCAGGATTCTTTCTAATCCTGTTTTGCCCCTTGCAATAACTTAGGGCTGTGATGGCGAACCTATGGCACGCGTGCCACAGGTGGCACACGGAGCCATATTGGTGGGCACATGACCGTTGCCCTAGCTCTGCAGTGTACATGCATGCGCCAGCCAGCTGATTTTCAGGCCTTCTGGACCACTGGAAGTCAGCAAACAGGCCGTTTCAGGCCTCTGGAGGGCCTCTGGGGGTGGGGCGGGGAAGGCCGTTTTCAGTGGTGAAATCTAAAATTTGTTACTACTGGTTCTGTGGGCGTGGCTTGGTGGGGGGGGTAATGTGACTGGGTGGGAGTGGCCATTTTTTTTTTTACTTTTAAAACCATTTTTTCTACAACCTCTTCAGCGAAGAGCATGGGGGGTCCTGTGCGGGGAGGGCAGGGCGCATTGAATTATGGGTGTGGGCACATGCACACGCAACCCTCGCACTCCCCCCGCTTTTGGCACGCGACGGCAAAAGGTTAACCATCACTGACTTAGGGTTTCCAGGCATCA